TGTAAGTGGAAAAACTGAATGCTTCAGAAAACAGACCATCTGCGCTAAGATAAAGAATAAGCCTCCTCCATTCAGCCTCTTTACTGTTACTCTTTACTCCTTTACTTTCGCGGATAAGGAAACAGTGTTGTATGCACTTCACTGAAGACATCCATTAGCTACATATTTAATTTAGTTTGTTAAGCACAATTATTTGGTTCAAAACTATTTCTAAATTTAATTTTAATTTCCAACAAACGAACAAATGAACAATAATAATAAATGAGTTAATCCAAACACACGTCCTATTCTTATGTCCTATATAGTGATGCATTGCTCCCTAAAACCTGACAGGTGGAAAACTCTAACTTTGTTTTTATTAAAACACATATAAATATGAATCGAATAAATAATACTGCTAATAACAATAACATTATACTAATGCAAACTGTCATGAATAAACTAAAAAAAAGACATGAAGAAGGCATGGAGGTAGTGGTTTTTATGACATCTCACCCGCACCCTCACAATCATTACATTAGATGGAGTTTTCAGCTTGTGCAGTAAGCAGACGCAGATGAAGCGCAAATGATTTACATGTGAAGTTTTAGCAAAGATAGGAGATTTGCGAATTGGGCATTTTGTGCATTTGACGCGCTTCAGACAGCAAAAGAAAGTTAGAGCAAACAGAGCAATGGAACAGACAGGTGGAGATGAGATTGGTTAAAGGGTGACGGCTGCTGGACGTCACCATATTGAAGGACATTATTTGTACACTTTGGCCAAATCGGTGCCTTGCCACAATTCTGTCTCTGAGCTCTTCGGGAAATTCCTTTGACCTCATGATTCTCATTGCTCTGACATGCATTGTGAGCTGTAAGGTCTTATACAGACAAGTGTATGGCTATGGCTTTCCTAATCAAGTCCAATCAGTATAGTCAAACACAGCCGGACTCAAATGAAGGTGTAGAACCATCAAGGACAAATGGACAGCAGTTAAATATAGAATGTCAAAGCAAAGCATCTAAATACTTAGGACCATGCAATGTTTAAGTTTTTTTTTAATAAATCTGCAAAAATGGCAACAATTCTGTGTTTTTTTGTCAATATTGGGTGCTGTGTGTAAATTAATGAGGAAAAAATTCACTTGCATAACTTATAATAGCGACATTATAACAAAGAGTAAAAAATTTAAGGAGGTTTGAATACTTTCTGTACTCACTGTATGTTTCAACAAACACATTTAAACTTCTGAATTGTGTCAAATCACTGTTCTTGCAGAGGATGATATTAATTCTAGGCTTTTTTTTGCCATTATAGCTCTCCATGTTTGGTTAAAATAAAACTCCACCCATTTAGTTAAAATATTTAACTAGGCATCTACTTTGTTTGTTAAAATAGTTTTTTAAATAGTTTAAATCAAGTATGATTATACTGCCCTTGTTTAGCGTAGGGTTGGGTATCGTTTGTGGTTATTTCGATACCGGTGCTAAATTAAAACTTTTAAACCGATACTTTTGAGCCACAAAATTATGGTTGATGACTCTAGAAATTTTTAGATTTTTTATTTATTCGACAATATCATTTAAAAAAATGATTTAAATATAACAATATAATTAATGTTTAAAGTAAACATCAAATCATATTTTATACATTTCAATTACATTAATATATTTCCTTTGATCATTTATTGGTTAGCATGAATTTAAGATTTGCATTATAAAATTACATAAGCTTGCATTAGCTTAACAAACGCCTGACATCGCCTGTCCGTATTCCTCGAAGTTGTTTAGAATTAAATGTTTAGAGATCGTGTGACAATGCGTGCCTTTGATGCACCCCTTGATGCTTCTTACGTCCTTGTCGCAGCACCAGTGGCACGGAAATTAGGCACTGAAATTCATATGCTGATTCTATCCGGTACATACCAGTTACAAAGGTACCGTTGCTATAATGGCACCGGGTTTCGCTACTCAACCCTAGTTCAGCCTACATCATGCTCTGTGTGTGTGTGTCTGTGAGAGTTGCAAGTCAGAGCGTAACTCCTTAACATTCACAACCAATCCAAATATGGTCAATATTGCCCTTCTGATTCTAGGGGTATTTTATGGAATAATAAATGAGCATATACAACAATTTCAGGGGATTTTTAACTTATCTAAGCCATATTAATACTATGTAAATATCAGAGAACAATTTAACTTATTGAATCAATGTAGTATATGGCACTTTTAAAATCAGCTCTGCAGGTGCCAGTGATTAATCATTAGTAGAGTATATAACCGGCCCACACAGAGCGAGTGTTTACACTTTTTTGCTTAGGAGATGGAGATGGCTTGTCCCCGAACTTGACCTCTGATTAGACGAGTGTTATGTGGGGGCCTAAAAAAAGGTCAAACCATCCAAGCCTTCGTCCCCTTCTTCCCGGAGGTGCACAGTGAGCTCACATGCTAACGCCCTCACCACCCTTAATGACGGAGCCGCCACGAGGTACGAATCAATTCCTCAGGTGGAGCACACTATCACGGTCAATCTTTGTCCAACGAGACTCTAAAGCTTGAAGGTCATCTGAGTCTCGTTTGGCCAGAGCCTACACAGCTGCGGGTCAGGCTGCTTCCACCTTGCAAGCTATTGCCACCTATCAGCACTACAAGTGCAGAAGTTGGCTGAGCTGCACGAGGGTGGTTCTTCCTGGGCTTTAGCTCCACACAGAGACAGACTACGCTCTCATGACAAAGTCAGGCACTTGTGCCCTGGGAAAGATGATGGCACATTAGGGGTCCAGAAAGCCACCTCTGGCTGAACCTGGCAGATATGTGCAACATGGACAAAGCTCACTTTCTAAACTCAGCCATATCCCAGGCTGGCCTTTTCGGCGACACCTTTAGGGACTTTACCCAGGAGTTCTCAGCTGTGAAAGAGCAACAGCAGGCAATGAGAGAAGTCCAGAAAACTGCTCTCATCACTGCCCAATACACCTTGGCTGCTTCTTCCCGAGATCATCCACCTGCAGTCACAAGACCACCTTCCACTAAGCGGCAGTGTTAAGCCCCCTGCTGGATGGAGACACTCCCATCTCAGGATGCTTTTAAGTCCGATAAGAAGACCACAAAGCGGTCTGAGACTCGCAACCCGGAGAAGAGGGGACCAGCTATTTCCTCAGTGGAAGTCTCAGTGGAACATCACAGACTTTAAAATCACCACTGCTGGCGCCCAGGCCCGCAGTAACCAACTTTTCGATACAAGGGCAGTTTCCTCTCTCTTTGAGTGCCCAAACCCTGCCCGTCTTGGATGCTCCACCTTCTAGCTCACTGTGCTGGGCCATATCGCCATGGGCTCTGAGGGTGCAAGAGGATGGTCTCCTTTCTCTCATTCCTTCAGCCTCATCATGTGATCCAGGGAAGAAGGTAAGACAATCTCTTAATTTCAGCTCTTCCTTGGGATGCTCTACTTTCCAGGGGTGAGGACTGCCCTCCCGAGCTTCCCCATAACTGGAATATCAGCGATTGCTCCAATGTCTCCATTCTTCCACACCATCTTCCCTTTCTCCGGTTTGCATTCGAAGGTTGTACAAAGTACTCCCCTTCGGCCTCTCCCTGTCTCCATGAGTTTTCACCAAACTTGCGGAGGTTGCCCTCTTTAGCTCCCGGGCATAACTAAACTCAATTATCTTGACAACTGGCTTATACTGGCTTTGTCCGGGATTAATTGATTAAGCACAGGGACAGGGTTCTCCAGCACGTTGACCGGTTAGGGTTTCGGGTCAACCAAGTGAAGAGCAAGCTTTCCCCTGTGCAGAGCATCTCCTATCTCAGAATGGAGTTGGACTCGATCTCAATGATGGCACAGCAGGCTGATGCTGTCCTGAGTCTAAGTATCCTTGACAGAAACACAGTGGTCCTACAGAAATTTTTTTTGAGGCTTTAGTGCCACTTCAGCGGGGAGCAGGACGAGGAGCAGGACTTGTTAGTTGCGCCTCTCTGGCCTAACCGAACCTGGGTTTCCAAACTCACATTCCTCCCTGGCGTATTCGGGGCACCGCCTGGCACCCACTCCCAGATCTCTGGAATCTCCATGTGTGGTCCAAAGAAAAACAGTGAAGGACTTAGGTGCCCTACCCATCACTCAGACAAGAGCACCTTGTAGTCATGGCAGGCCTGCAGAGAGATCTGTTCAAACCACACAAATAAGTATCCTTAAAAATTGTCCATGAAGACAGAGCTGCTAATTGCGTTGGCATCAATCAGGAGGGTTAGGGATCTGGATGCATTTTTGGTCAGAAAATCATGTCTGGAATTCGACTATGCACCAAAGGTTCCTACCACCCCATTTAGAGACCAGGTGGTGAACCTGCAAACACTGCCCACTGAGAAGACAGACCCAGCCTTTTCACTGCTTTGTCCTATTCACGCTCTGTGACTTTATGTGGAACGTATGCAGAATGCAAGATCTTTGGACAGCTCTGTATCTGTTATAGTAGTCGGCAGAAGAGAAGTGTTGTATCAAAACAGAGATTGGCCCACTGGATAGTAGATGCCATCGCCCTCGCTCTGCGTGCGCTGGTTATATACTCTACTAATGATTAATCATCAGCACCTGCGGAGCCAAGCTCAACCAATTCATTGGCATGTATTGGCCTGTTTTCTTACTTTTCAAAGTGATTGTTTCTCCAGCGATCCCTCGTATAGTGTTTTATATAGACACACGTCTCCGTTCCCTTTTTGGGGAACATGGGTTACGTTAGTAACCGAGACGTTAATATTCCGTTACGTTAACATTTTTTTAAAATATCTTCTTTTGTGTTCAATGGAATAAGGAAATTTATATAAAGGTTTGGAAATACTTGAGGGTAAGTAACTAATAAATATTAAACTATCCATTTAGGAGTTATTTTTGGTTATTTTTTCCTGATAAACTTGCATAAACTTTTGTATTTTGTAAACAGGAAAAGCATAAAGTACATCCTGTCAAGCCCCAGGTGTGAATAAATTGTCATTGGAGTCACTCTGGTTCTACGATACCTTTGAAAGCTGCTTGCTAGCATTGAGTTGCTGGAGAAGAGAGTCAATCTGCACTTGTGTTTGGACTTGTCGGTGGTTATGCTCAGTTGCAAGCTGCTGTGCTGCTTGTCTGTCTGCCTGTAGTGCTGCCACTTGCTGCTGGAGGGACAGAAGATGCTGTCGTAAAGCAGAATGGGGCTTTGATGTTTTTCTCCTCCTCATCTTCTGCATTGAGGCACCTGAGGGTGGAGAGGACACAGTGCTACAGTCAGCCTCTGTTAGTTTGTAAATGGATATTAGTGATGAAATAATACCTTAATTATGTCTTGGAGAACAACAATATTAATATGACACATTTTTGAATGATGTGGTAGTAATATTATTTTAATAAATAGAATTTTATACAAAATAATAAACGTATCTGTATTTAATTAAAGACTGCGAAAATCATTAATTCTATTAATGAAGCATTGCATACTGCAGTGTTGTAGTTTTTATATACAAAAAACAAACACATAACTACAACTAAACAAAAAATAAACAATCTGAACCTTAAAAAAAATCTTTGTTTTTTATACAATTTTGTTTGCTTTAATTTATCTGTAAATGTTTAGAAATAGTAGGATTTTCAGTGTTTTTAATGTCTATTATGTTCATCAAAACAGCCGTTATTTAATCAGAAATATATAAAAATTTAACAAATGTAACATTTTAGTTATTATTAAAATACAAAAATATTGTTATATGTAATTTTTTTGTTATTAAACTCTGAAGTCTTGTCTAGCACATTTTCCCTGATCTTATTATCTACAGACCACTGCATCCCCATAACACACTCGCACACATACACACATACAAAGCTTTTATAGAAACTTGTTTCAGGTTTTGACCGAGTATGACAAAATAGTGCGATGCTCGGTTCTTGCCATTTCTTTTCTTTTTAGCCTCACCTAATGTTCACATACATAAAAGGATTTGAGTAAATATAAGAGAGCCACAAACACTGGATTACTCAAGCAACAAATTGACAGAGATTCCTCAGCAGATTACAGAATGTCAATTAATACCAACTAGTGGAAAAACAGTTATTGCACATAGCTACCGTGGTCTACACCAGATGAAACCACTGCCATGTCATGTAACAAATACATTTCTCTATGTCAGAAGTTGTGGGAGCACTTGGACTGCATCAGAAATAAAATGGGACATCAGTTTGATGTCAGGGATTTGCCATGTCACACCTCGCTGCATCCAGTGTAGACACAATCACTCACTGTGGGGGTTATATTGTCATAAGTCGAGTCGCAGCAGTCAGGTCCTTTGCAGAAAAAAGTGTCAAAAAAGTGTTCCAGATCAGTAGAACGCTGTTTGTCTTTCTGCTTTTTTAACTGACAATAATTTTTCAGCAAGTGGCAGTTATTAAGTCTTTTAGAGAGATAGATGATACAGTAAAAGGCGATGAAGAGCCAACTATATTATATAATCTATGATGCAATTGTATAATGATTAATAGGAGTACTCTTAATGCATTACAGTGCAAGTATAATGCCATATAAACAACCAATAATATGCTGTATTTTCTGATAAATTATCATAAAATGTTACAAGAATTAACCGTTTTTTATTGCATTATAATGCACAATTTTTAGCAATCTACAACCGCAAATCAGAAAAAGTTGAGACAGTATAGAAGTCAGTATGCAGACAATACAACAGCACATTATTTAATGTGTTTTTATTTTTAAATAAACATGTATTACAATTTTGGTTCTTGCAACACATTTAAAAAATGTTGGAACAGTAAAGTATTTACCACTTTGTAATGTTGCCATTCCTTTTCATAATACTAAAAAAAGACATTAAGGGACTAAAGACACCAAGCCTGTTTCAGGCTTGTTTTCAACATGATTTTGTAAAAAACAATGTTCAAACGAGTCAACTCAACTTAAAAACATATGTTTAAACAGTCTCCTTTTTGGTGCCCCCCATACTTCCAATCCAGCAGATGGCAAAATATGCACAATTAAGTTTGTCAGTTTGTCAGTCAAAGTCAGTTTGCCAACTGCCAATTGAACATCAGAATAAGTCAGACACATGGGACATTTTTCACCAGATTTTTTAGTTGTTCAATCATCAAATTTGGTAAGTAATGCTTCTTGAAAATTTGTGTTAAATAACTTGTAAAATGACAAGAACTGATTGTCAATGTATTGTTCCCAGTATAAATGTTACTACAGCAGATTAGACCTTTGCTAAAACATAGAGTTTAGCCACATTTATAAAGCTTAGTAAAGTTTGTTTTAGGTTTGAAATTGCAATATCTCAATACGTGTATTAAACAGTACTTTTCTAGTTCCCTGACTGATTTATTGATTATTCTGATCTTGATTGTGTACACTATTTATTAAATATGATTTGACTTTATTTTTTCTTTTCTTCGTAAAATTACTCAAGATGTGTGGAGCATTTGGTTTGAATAAATTGTGGAGCTGCAAGTTTCACCACAACCAATCAACGAATTATCATAAGACACTAAAAGCTGATTTAAAAGTTATGATTTGTAGGTAAATAAGATTTGGTGTACATGTTGTGTTTACACATTGTCTTTCAGCTTTAGTGTTTTAGATTTTGTAATTTAAAGAAAGTTTTTTTTATTGTTTGGCATTTTTTTACAGCACACAGATTCTGAAGAAGAGCTGTGCAGAGGGATAAGCTGTGCTTCAAATAAGCAGTTCAATTATTTAGTTCAATTAAGGCGGTCAATTATTTAACTCTGTCAACTAATGCCACAGCCATGTCACCCAGCAGCCCAAGACCGGTTACTCACTGAAGCTAAGCAGGGCTGAGCCTGGTTAGTACCTGGATGTGAGACCACTAGGGAACACTAGGTTGCTGTTGGAAGTGGTGTTAGTGAGGCCAGCAGGGGGCGCTCAACCTGTGGTCTGTGTGAGTCCTAATGCCCCAGTAAAAGTGAAGGGGACACTATACTGTCAGTGGGTGTCTTCCTTCGGATGAGATGTTAAACCGAGGTCCTGACTCTCTGTGGTCATTAAAAATCCCATGGCACTTCTCGTGAAAGAGCAGGGGTTTAACCCCGGTGTCCTGGCCAAAGTCACTCTATCGGCCCTTACGATCATGGCTTCCCAATCATCCCTTTCCACCGAATTGGCTCTTTCACTGTCTCTCCACTCCACCAATAGCTGGTGTGTGGTGAGCGCACTGTCACCGTTGTCCTGTGGCTGCCGTCGCATCATCCAAGTGGATGCTGCAGACTGGTGGTGGTGTGGAAAGACCCCCCCCTCATGATTGTGAAGCGCTTTGGTAGTATGGCCATACACAATAAATGTGCTATATAAATACACACATTACACATTACAACTAAACATTTTAAGTTTAGAAAACTTAAGAGAATAAAGTCAATACAACTAAGCTGAGTCAATGCAACAATATGACGTAACAAGGTTACATTAAGTGAACAAAATTTTTTTTTATCAAATCAATTTTCATTGTCACAATTTGCACTTCAAAATGCACCCCACAGTCTCTATTAGAGATAGCTCGGGACTGCAGCCAGGCCAGTCAAGTACCTGTATCCTCTTCCTTTACAACCCGGACTTTGTAATGTGTGCAGAATATGGTTTTGCATTGTCTTGTTGAAATATGTATGGGCGGCCCTGGAAAAGAAGGCAGCATATTGTGCTCCAAAATCTCTATATACTTTTCAGCATTAATGGTTTCATTACAGAAGTACAAGTTACCTTTGCCAAGGGTACAGGGTCTGAGGGATCAGAGATCACGGTTGTTCAGCTTAGGCTTGCGCCCTTGTCCTTTATGCACTGAAATTCCTCCAGACTTCCAGAATCTTTTAATTATGTTATCCACTGTTGAAGGTGAAATGTCTAAATGTCTTTCTATCTTTCTTTGAGGAACATTGTTTTTAAACATTTCAATAACTTTCTCACGTATTTGTTGGCAAACTGGCAATCCTCAGCCTATCTTTGCTCCTAAAGGACTAGACCTTTGTTGGATGCTGCCTTTGTATCAAATCATAACTACAATCACCTGTTGACATCACCTGCTTTAAATAACTTTATTATTTAACAAATTAACCTGATTACTTGCCCTAAACTTCTTCTGTCCCAACCTTTTTTTTTTTTTCAAATGTGTTGCAGGTCTAAATGACAGGAAAGGATGTATATCTGCAAATGAAATGAAACTGACCAGACAAAGTGTGACATATTTTGTGTTAATATTGTTAGCAATAAAATACAAGTCAAAGTAAACTTAGAAATCATCACTTTTTCTTTTTTATTTGTGTTTTCCATGTTGTACCAATTTATTTATTTTGATTTGGCTTGGATATTGAAATTGTGGACACACATACATATCTAGGGGTTGTTATTTACAATATGTTGACATTCAACCTAACAGTCTATAAAAAAGTAAAACAAAGACTGTTTTTTTTTTTTTCTGAAGAAACTAAGATTGTTTCAGGTTTGTACCTCGATGATGACATTGTTTTATAAACAATTTATTGAATCTGTTTTATCTTTCTGCATTGTAGCTTGGTATGGTAATCTGAGTTTGTTAAGAACAGGTTGAGTAGCCTGGTGAAGGTGGCAGGCAAGATCATTGGTTTAAACCAAACTGGTCCAACAGCAATTTACCATACTGGTGTTTTAAAGAGAGCTCAGGGTATCCTATGCAACCCGGATCACCAGTTCTACTTTGTGTTTCAGTTGTTGCCAACCGGACGTGGTTTTAGAGTTCCTGTTTGCAGGACAAATAGAGTTAGAAATTCTTTTATAATGGTGGGCATTAGGTCATTAAATGAGTCCAGGGGGGAGGGAGATGCACCTACAGTGTGATGTATTGTATGTTGTGTGGTAATATTTTATTAATGTGGAACTTCGCCTGTGTTGCAGCACCTTGCTGCAATTTTAGTTTCCCTAAACGGAAAAATAAAGTTAAGTCTGAGTCAGAGTAGTTGTTGTGTTAGTTAAGTTATCGTATTTGGAATAACACATTTAACCCACACATATGTGACTCTCTAGGTCAAAAATTACTACCATTCATTGAACCTTTAAAATAAAGCAGCTTAACCTTTTTGTATAGTTCAAATTTACTACCTGCTTGTTATGTTAGTGGTTACTTTTGACTTCATTATTATGACATTTTTTTGATTCCCTGTTGGGAAGAGGTACCCTTTAGATATGCCTGTACAAAAAAAAATTCTGGCTTCTATATGGAATTCTATGTAGTACACTTACTATGTTTACTATGTTCTAAGAGCTGAGCTGCTTATCTTTTAATTTCGCAAACTTATCAAGGTAAGTGTGTAAAGGTCTCTCTCTCACACTCACAAACAGTCTATATTCCATATCAAAACCAGAAACTAAGTTTGCATTGCAACTGATGACAGTGAAAATGACAAATTGCACCCTCTTACAAATTGCACCTTTCCGACAGGGAAAAGCACCAACAATAAAGAATGCATGATAATATGGTGTTATGGAGTTGCTCAAAATCACTCCATAGTGAACATAAACATCCCCAAGGGTTAAATTGAATAAAAATGTTAAATAGACAACTTCATCTTTATTTCTAGAAAAATGTAGGTTTTAAAATTTGATTAAACAATTCTTTAACTGTGTTTACTTAAATTATAGTTATAAAAACCTCTACAATTATAAAAGCAGGACAGTCCAATAAAATATGTTTAACTGAGAGACGAATCATATTACAAAACATGCACATCCTTTTCAGCCTTGGATACAGCAATATTAGCATACCATTTTACTTTACCTCCATTTAATTTAATAAACATGGGATTTTAAAATTAAAATGTCCCACTTTTGTAGTATACTTTTCGGAAGGTTTCTACTGACAGAGAACTGTAAGTAAACATGTAGTAAATAAGTGTTGGCTGGTTTAATAAAAATGGTAAACTCACTGGAATGCTTTCATGGTGTTTCCATTTCTATGAGCAATACATATAGTCGACTGACTTAAACTAAAGTAAGTTTAAGATTGGATTATCTATTTCAAACAGCGAGGAGCAGAAAGAGAAGTAGGAATGTTTGGGCAAAATTGTAAACAATTGTCAACTTTGCTATCATAAATGGCTTCATGAATGAAACGAATGAGTAATAGTTGAGGTATTCTGTATCCGATTTCTCCCTGATATGTACTGTACAAGCAATCAGGAATGAAAAATCTCTCAACATGCAAGCACCTGAGCACAGTTGCGTCAACCAGGTTACCTTGGAATTGGATGTTTCTGGTTTGAGATTCCTCTCTAGGTCTGTCTATAGGGCAGATCAGCATGTACCTGCAGCCCTGCAGGCAGAAACACAACACATGACACAAAAAGCTGGGATAACAGTTTAACATAACGTATCGTGGCGGCTCACGGCAGAGTGACACAGAGGAAGCGTTTGTAGTCACATCAAAGGGGCTTTTGGCTTTTCCCCTCATTTGTATCGAACACTATTTAAAAAGGTTTTGATCAGTCTCTCTCTCTCTCCCAGGGTTTGATCACGGATTTATTCAGAAGCTCTTTAGTGTGACACGGGCGGCGCAGTGCTCTGCTCCACTGTCACGCCGATGTGAGCCAGCACGGTTGACGAGTACACAGAGGCATTCAGGCAGGATCTAAGAGAGGCCTGACAGCTGTAGAGCTGAGAGGAAGCGAAAAGAGGAGAAGATATGGAGCTTCCATGTTCCCTGAGGGGATGGGGGAGAGCCAGCAGAGCCATGAGAGAGTGTCGAGAAGAGATCGCACTTTACAGGAACAGACACCTCTGATACACATCTCCTGATAGACACAGCTGCTTAAAGTCAACGGGAAAATGTTTTGTTTTTCTCCTTCGCAAATGAAAAGAGGCAATTTCAAGGTGAAGAGTGTAATTTTGTTTAACTATAAACAAGCCATTTCCATTCAAAAGGCTTGAAACTTAGTCTCTGAGGACGTGACTACTTTGCCTGAACCAATTAGTTGAGTTTTGGCCTGACTCTGTGTAGACAGCATACTGTATAGAGACTTCATACTTCAAGGCCTTGCTTAAGATCTTCTGACTGACTTCAACAGTAGTCATTGGGGTTTTATGGATAGATAAATACAAAACACAATGTCAGAATTCAGCTTTTAGCAAGTGTTCACATAAACAATTATTCATGGCTTTCAACTACATAAACTTTTAAGAGAATATCTTATTTTTTTGTCATTATACTTGATCTACACTGTAAAAAAAGTTGGGTTCCACATAATTATTTTGTGTTGGGACAACATGAAGGAGTTAGGTTAGTTGATTAGTTTTTACAAATTTAAGTAGATTGCACATAAAATAATAATGCTGTCCCAAAGAAAACTCAAGAATTGTGTTGTTTCAGCTCATTTTAAATAAGTAGTTTGAGCAAAGAGCAAACATTATTATTTTTTTTTTTGTGTGTAGGTTTTTAAAATGACAGCCCAATACATCTGCGGCTTTCTATGTTATTTATGTTAAACAAACAACAATAACAAAAAAATAATAATAATAGTCACTCACTGCTCTTGACTGAAAAAAAGTTGCAATATTTATTATTTATGGACAAATATATCTGCTTAAAAGAATGTTGTATGCTATAGTGAATACATAGATAACTACATAGATAACTACTCATACTTTTAATGATTAGAAGACCATGCTTTGTTTTTTAATAAAGTTTTTTTTTGTTCAATCTTAAGATGATTAAATGCTTGAAATATGTAAATTCAGTTAGATTTTACACATCTAAATCCACAGTAGATTTGGTAAATTATAATATTAGGACATTTGGTCAACTAGACTAACTGGTCTAGCTGCATGCAATTTTAGTTAAAAGAAAACGCCCAAAACTATGGATTTTTTTGTGCCCTTATTTAGTCTTTCTTTCTACTTCTTTCATCAATAAGTATATGACATAAGTATATGACATATGACATCATTAAGTATATGACACTATAAAAATAAAGAATATTCCCAAATCAGAAAAAGTTGGGACAATACTGAAAATTCTAATTAAAAAGAAAGATTTCTAAATTTACGTTGACTTTTATTTCATTGCAGACAAAATGGACAAACTATTTCATGTTTTGTTCGGTCAACTTCACTTCATTTGAAAATATACATCCTTTCCTGTCATTTAGTCCTGCAACACATTCCAAAAAAGGTTGGGACAGGAGCAATTTAGGGCAAGTAATCAGGTTAATTGGTTAAATAATTATGTGATTTGAAGCAGGTGATGCCAACAGGTGATTGTAATTATGATCTGGTACAAAAGCAGCATCCAAGAAAGGTCTAGTCCTTTAGGAGCAAAGATGGGCCGAGGATTACCAGTTTGGCAATAAAGATGTAAAGAAATTATTCAAATGTTTAAAGACAATGTTTCCTAAAGAAAGATAAAAAGATGTTTGTATATTTCACCTTCAGCATTGCAAACATAATTAAAAGATTTAAGGAATGTGGAGAAATTTCAGTGCGTAAATGACAAGGGCACAATCCTAAGCTAAACAACCGTGAAATCCGATCCTTCAGGTGGTGCTGCATCAAGAATGGACATTCATCTATAAGCGATATCACAACATGGGCTCGGGACTACTTTGGTCTGTCAAGTACCACAATACTTAGTTACATCCACAATTGCCAGTTAAAACTGTATTGCGCCAAAAGAAAGCCTTATGTTAACAGTGTTCACAAGCTCGGTCAACTTCTCATGGGCTCTAAGGCATCTGGGATGGACCATTACAGAGTGGAAACGTGTACTGTGGTCAGATGAATCAGTATGCATATTTTAACAATGCAAAACCACAATATGCCCACATTACAAAGTCCTGGCTGCAGAGGAAGAGAATACAGGTACTTGACCTGCCTGCAGTCCCGAGCTGTTTCCAATAAAGAATCTGTGGCACATTTTAAAGTACGAAATGCAACAACAAAAAACTTGTAATGTTGCCCAACTTAACATTTGTTTGCAGGATGAATAGGACAAAATTATATCTGAAACACCTCATCACTTGGTGTCTTCAGTCCCTAAATGTCTTTTAAGTGTTATGATAAGGAATGTCAACATAACAAAGTAATAAATGTTTTTACGGTTTCATCTTTTTTGAAATGTGTTGCAAGAACAAAAATTGAAATACGTGTTTATTTACAAAAAAAAAAAAAAAAAAAAAAAAAACATGATGAACACATTAAACAATGTTTGTTGTATTGTCTGCAATGAAATCCAAGTCAAAGTAAAAAATTGAGGAATCCCTTTCTTCATTTTAATTTTAATTTTTTAAACTTCGTTTTCCATACTGTCCCAACTTATTCTGATTTGGGGTTGTGAAACTTTAAAAAGTGACTATTTTTGAGTCTTTCTTACATGAACAAAATTAATCTGTAACTATAGCCCTATTTGAACGGGACTAGTTTACTGGTGGCGTTAGAGAAATTTTAGTTTTACAGATTTTACATTTCGATTGTAATCCCATCTGAGTCTTTTTCCCACAACTCTGTACCTCTGTATAAATTTCAGGGCAAACTACCTACTGTATTTCAGCAAACTCGGCAGTTCTATGGGAAATCTAATCCCGTCCAAATGGGAAAGTCTTTGATTGATTTGTTTTTTTCCCCCAAAACACAATTTTTTCTGTGTTTTGGTCAACATAAACTACCGTTATGGTCTTTAGCATGCAGGTATTTGGGTTTTTGCTTACTGCACACCAATAATTGATGTAGATGTATTTGCTACCCTGCAAAAAAAAAAAAAAAAAAAAAAAAAAAAAAAAAAAAAAAAATTTAAATTAAATAAACAAGAAGAGACAAATTCCAAAAATTGTTAAGACTAGCTACTATAATATCACTTTCAGGCAAGATTACTTTAATTTCTGCAGTCAATTACATAAGGTGAAAATGGTATAGGTTAAAATGTATTTATTGTAGTGAATTTATTATAAGAAGTTCTATAAAACCATAATGGTATTTTTTATAATTTTTTAAACAATAAACAAGTTAGGATTTTGTGCTTAAATGTAAATATACTATATCAAATTTCATAAACTGTGCTCAATGGCACAATGTTTTTCATTTATATTCCTGAAATGTACATTTGTATATTTTAACACTTCCTGAACACATGGTCTTAGGTAACGTTCACTTGTAAAACACAGACCCTCCTATCTATGTAATAAACACAGAAATGTTAGTCCCATCCAAATCCATACATGAAATGACAGACCTTAACTGAAAAACATTTGCAACTAAAACGCCATTTGGAAAACTAGTCCCATCTGAATAGGGCTTGCCTTGTTGAAAACAAAATATAATTATTTAATTTTAGAATATTGCAATATTTTTGAAAGTTTATGTAACAAACCTTCGATTTTCGAGAAGCTTGACGAGTCCGAGCAGAATATCGACTTTCCAGGCTGTCAGAGAAATCTTCACTCTCACTGTGGAAATAAAGTTAAAATATCTACTTATTTACCAAAATAAATCAATGCATTGGGGCTACAATGTGACATTCCACAACATTCATATGAGAACCGTTAATTAGCAGAAAAGCAGACAACCCAGAAACTTAAACGGCAAAGTGTGGTGTATAACTCAAACTGCTGAGGCACAGTTGGGACATTCTAAATGCTACGGCATCTCATTCAAGAGCCTCTCGGAGACAAATTTGGATAGCTTCCAGCATGCCATTTCGTTGAGGTAGTGATGCATTTGGGTGAAATAAATCTGTGACTGGTATCACTGGAAATCATCATACCATCCATCACGCCATAAACCCTGGTGCAGTAAGCGACATAAAACTTTCATGAAATAATTACTAAAGATGCTGCTTGATTTGGAGGATGTTAAACAGCTTGTAGACATCTGGTCGAGAGCTGAACAGAGTCATTTAAAATGTATCCTGTTAAATTAGATCATGTATAAGAAGAGGAGGAGTGGAGGGAATAGGAGCGTCACAGGAAAACGAATTGATTGGGCCAGGGTTAGCCTAGGACTCCTCCTCTGTCAGGGATGAATATGGCAAATTAAATTAACCTGCCAAACTGTCAATTTCAGAGCTCACGACGTTGGGAAAATGGCATTGGGCAGAGAGTAAGGGGCTGCTGCGGGTTCAGGTGCTTTCTGGCACCGGTTCAACTCAGCTGCTCTGAGGTGGCTAATTCTACATGCAAATTTCAGTCAATAAGCTCCTAGCAAGACATCCCAGGATAATTCAAAGGATCAGATTTCCCCCCTCTTTCTGCCCCCCCCGCTCTCTTTTTTCTCTTTTGAATACCAACTAGACAGAAGCTGGGATTCAATCACCCGTTTGCTTGTGTTTTTGCATATGCGTGCTGTCCCTACAGTCAGAAAAATAATGAGAGTGTGAAAGATGGAGAGTGCAAAAGAGACAAGGATAGTGAAAGGTGGGGGAAGTACCTGTCTGCGCTCATGTCCTCCCAGTCGTCCTTGGCGGGACTGTCCATCCTGTTCTCTGTCGAAAGCACGTGTGTTCTGCTGGAGGCATCCACCCTGGGGGCTTTGTTGTTCACCTTGCGTCTAGCAGAGGACCGATGGAAATCTCTCTCTGCTCGGAGGACGCCCAGTTCCTGTCGAAGCTTGAGCAGCCTGCGTCTGGCCTGGGCAGCAGCTTTCGCAGCCTCCTTTGCCTCTCTCTCAAAGCTCTGCATCTGGGAAATCAGTCGGTTGCGTTCGTCTTTGGCCCGGGCCTCTTCTGCCTCCTTGCTTTGCTGCAGCATCTGAACCCTGGCCTGCAGATCACCCCGTTCACCGGCCAGTGCCCGGTTGTCTTCTCGTAACCGCAAAATCTCACTCTCCAGAGAGACCATTTGACTTTGTAGCTGCTCGATCTGCGGGAGTATGAAGGGGCACATGAGCAGCAAATTACCACCTAATCTTTTTGAGACATTTGTGCTTTAAACTCTCATTTGGCCTTTATGGAGAGGTTCTGTTCCGGGGTAGGCGAGCAGGCACTCTGTGAATCCCCTCCAAATTTGTTACTCATGGCTAAACATAAAAGAGGGCCATTTAGGCAGCTTGTCAAATCCTGGTGGAGGGTGTGAAAGAGAGGAGGGGATGCCTGCTGGGTGTATACCCCCAGGCAAATTGCTGCCTTTTATTTAGCACTCTTGCAGCCTTACTGCCGCAGCGCACCACCTTTCAAACAACATTAGGCCCCTTTACGGCTGGCTGACAACGACTCGCACCCCCCACCCACCACCACAACTCCATCAAAAATTATTTCATTTATAATGCTTTTGCTGGAGCACATAAACAGCAGTCTGCCCCTGTGGGTTATTAAGTTTAACATGGTGCTTGTCATTCGGTAATAAAGGCGATGACAGCCCCCATTACACGACCATATGGCAGCTGCTGGCACCGCTCACAATGCCATCATCTGCTACGAATTATTCTACAAACCATTTCATTCCTCTGCTCAGAATGTTCCCTCAGTCCTCACCAGCCCCTCCAGCAAGAACCAAGCTAAATGTTGCTTTAGGGGAAGTCAAGTGCTTCCGAATAGTCTGTGAGCGTGATTCGCTCAGGCTAAATGCTAATGACAAATGATTTGCTTGTGTTAAATGAGTGAATGGCCCATTGTCAAAATCCAGCATTGTCAGCAAATGCACAGCAGTACAGTTTCAAGCAATTGAGCCTTAAGTGTATTTGCTGTGCCGTTAATAGTTTTGGTGGATGAGCGATCAATAGAGTGGTGCAGGGATGGCATAAAAACCTCAAAGACTAATTCACTGCTGGTTCCTTCAAGATTTTCCAATGGGGTTTTTCAATTTATGAGAAAATGAAAATCATAACTCGACATTACTTACTTGCTTTGCTTTGTTAACGTAAACTGCACATACGGCAAACATTTTTTATAGCTACTTATTCAAAACACAATATTGCAAAAATAAACATAACAGCTTCTATATTCACATTTTTAATATATGTGTTTATGTACTTTGTCAAACAAAAATCTTAAAGTATCACCAGGCTATTTTTACCACAGACCTTTATTTTTATATGCAGAAATTGAAGAATACCATTATAAAACACCATTATCAGACCCCACGGGAAAATGTCAAGGGAAGTGGCGAATTAGTCTTCTGGGTTTGGATGGTATGCCTACAGCTCTTTATGCAAGGGCTGGGCAAGTTTGTTTCTGGAGAGACACAAAATGCAGCAGAGTTTTGATCCAGCCTTGACCAAAACAAGCAAACAAACAAACAAAAATAAACAACTCAACTCAATATAGTTTTGTAGCATCCCTTAGCCTTAACTCTTTCCCCACCATTGATAAGATATCTTGACAGCGCTTCCCCTCTATTGACACGATTGTTGGGCAATCCATGTTTTAGGCATATTATAGTAAGGGAAGACTTGGCACATGTCCTGAATGAGTTATGGGACTTCTGGGTCTCCTGGGACTGAAATATATGATGATCAGAGAAAGTGTAGATCGCATTGCATGTAAAAATGAAGTTATATAACTCGCCTTTGGCTTCTTTAGCAAGGTTTGCCACAGTGAGATGATCTATCCACTTCAATCTGGACAAATTTATATATATATATGTGTGTGTATTTGAGCATGTGCACACACACATGCATCAATATAAAATGTTCATACATTCTGTAAAGAAAATATATAGAGAGTTGTCAAATTTAGATGAAAATCATTAAAAATAAAAAACTTTTTTAAAATGTGGGTGGGGAAAGAGTTTATTAGCTTATTTAAGCTCTCCATAAACAAATTTGGCGCTCACCTTATATTAAGTGTCCTTAACTATGTATTTACATAAAAATATAAATGGTTAAAGGGTTAGGTACAGGTTTGGTGGTATGGGTAAGTTTAAGGATGGGTTAAGGTGTTAGGATTGGTCAAGGTGTAATTGTAATTACATGCATGTATTTAATCAAGCATAGGTACAATGTATATACACATGCATTTAGACAATAACTGCATTGTAACAAATTATTATTTTCAGTGCAAGTACATATTAATTAAGGCCTCTTAATATAAAGTAGGACCTAAATTTGCTCTATACAATGGGAAGGCTGGTAGGTTTAACCATGTGTTTTGAAAATGTTATGACAGAGCATAACACAGACAGAATGCAGAATCCTTACAATAGCTACGGCTATGTGCACAGGTTACCTCACGAGCTATGGCTTTCATTAAATGCAGATGTATACATTGGGCTTCATAGGAATGTCAGTTCATTCTGAATATGTTTACAGTACAAAATATATTAATTAGTTTATTTTATACACATATAAAATGGGCGCACAATATACTGAATTGAATATTTGATTGATTAAACACATCACCACATCTTCCTTTTACAAAAAATACCACTTGAGAAAATGATTTCTTCATTTCCATTATACCTAATCAACTACATTTTATTGTAAAGAGTAACATTTCATACAACGTATACTTACCTGTAGCCTACGGCTTTCATATGATGTTAGGAACCATTCTCTTATCTCAGATAACTATTCTTACAAAATTGAGCACCTTCTTAAAAGTCTCTTCCACTCTTCGCATGGTTGTCTTGATGGGGGTGCTGCTCCTTGTGACCTCCTCCTCCGCCACTTCCCGAAACAGAAGCTCTGCTGAAGGAATAGAAAAACTCATACTGTCACCTGACAGCCACTTTCCCTATTCAAATCAATTATCATTAATGACACATAATTTCTTGTCTTTTCAAAGGTCTATTCAACTGATTGAGCTCTTAAAGAGGCCCTTAATGGACAGATTTAGCAAAGGGACTCGTAACCACAAATCAAAACCTTCTGACCTGAAGCAATCTTGCAGGTTATTGTAAAGTAATACAAATTAATTTTAAGGGTAATTGTCAGTGTATGACTGAGCTCGTGTTTTTGACTTCATGCAGGAACTTTGTTGCTATGCTTGTTTAAAGATGGGAAAATAAACACATTTGGAGTGCAGAACTTTCTGCCGCCTCGGGTTAATAAAAGTTTCATGGTGAATGTGGATGCTCATTTGTCGAATGAAAATGTTGTGAAATATTTACAGTCGCTTGTTTTTTTTTTCCTGAGCTGACCTTTGGACAGTAAGGAGCAAGACTGAAATTCTAGTGAGTCACAGACCTATGCAGCCTCATGCACACACACAAACACAAACACAAACACACACGAACACACACACACACACACACACACACACACACACACACACACACACACACACACACACACACACACACACACACACACACACACACACACACACACAAAGAAAAACAACTATTCGCCTATTCACATGTGCATACACACACACATGCTCTTATTTGTGTAAGAGCTCTATCAGAGGAAATACACAGGAAATACACATACAGACCAGCACAACAGATTTGAGTTAGCAAATTATTCCAATTTTTGAAATGCACTTCCATATTAACAGAAAATTTATATTTAGAAACCTGGATGCATTGTTAAGAACAAATAAAACTAAACATTATTTGTTCTTATCACATTAGCATGTCCTGCACTTGTTTTTTGAAAGAAAAGGGTGTAATTAAAGTGACTTAATAATAGTAAAATTTTTAGTTGCTTCATTTTTATTTTTGTTTTTTACATTTTCTTTATTTGTTTATTTGGGACATTATACATTAATTAGCATTTCTGCAAATGCACCAGAATTAGCCAGAAGGCTAGGTTATTTTACATCTGTTGTCCCTGATCAACCTAAAGATAAACAATACAAGAATTATACAATCAATCAAACATAGTTAAAAAGTATTAAAATAGACATGATTATGTAGATGTTATTAAAAAAAATTATATTTACAAATTTAAAAAAAAAAATTGTAATAGAGATAAAAATAGTTGAAACACATTTAAACAACAAATCATTAAGATGGTGAGCACAAATGGAAACAGGCTAGGATCATTCTAATAGCAATGATGACACACCTGATTCTCTATAAACCAGATTTTTAAATGTTTTTTGAACATATTAAAGGTGGTTATTTCTCTGATGCTGCCAGGGACAGAATTCCACTTCTGTGCAGCTGTAACTGAAAAGGCACCCTGACCAAAGGTACTTTTTCGGATTAGGACAATGCAGTCTCCTCGGGCTGCCCTTGTATTGCTCTGTGTGTGGTGTTCCTGATGTTTACAAACTGACTGAGAGTAGGGGATGACAGACCGTGAATGATTTTATACATCAGACAAATGTTTGGGTACTTAATGACATTTTCTCAGCTTAACAATTTATGTTTTTGTAAAATGCTACAATGACGAGGTCGTAGAGGCTTTTTATCCAATATTTTAATTGTCTGTTTGGAAAGTGACAAACAGGGGTCCGTTCTTCGTACGTGGATTACTCAGTCAGCTGGATTTGGTTATTGACGATTTGACATGATCCAGGATCGTTTCGTTTTTCAAAACTGATCTGAGAGTTGTTGTCATAGCAACAGTTCTGCTAGTTCAAACCTGGTCGGAAGCAGGTTTAATTTATATAAAGAGGATTAGATCGACTCAGTTCAAGCAAAGATAATGCATTTTCTTACAGTAGTAGTTATATACTCTTACAAAAATACATTTTTTTAACCTATATAAAGTTATAGTTATTAATAAAAAAAAAGTTATATATATATTAATAAAACTTATATTATTGTTTGCACCCCCGAAATGAAAGTACAAAGACTGCCACCTGGTGGTGGAAAGAGAAAACTTGTTGATATATCTTTTTAGATCGTTTAGTACAATTTGTGTATGATAAAAGAAATGCACAATATGTGATTTTTTTAAAAGCAATAATACATTTATTCGGAATGTTTTGACAGTTAATATGACGGTAATTTGATGCTTCATAAAAGTTGCAGACACCTTTACCAATATCAAAATGCTTTTGTAAACATCCAGTTATTTTTTACACAGATTAAAAAAAAGGCTATTATAACAAAGAAAATCTTCTCTAAATATAGAACTAAATACGTTGATATGCTTTAAAATACATGATGAATACTGTTGAAACATGAAAGTGTAAAGCCTGCCGCTCATAACAAATATGGAAGATTATTGCGCGTTATATTTAACAAACCGCTTACTGCTAATTTGACGTAATTTTGCTCACATGGATAATTGAGTATTAATCAGATGATGTCATTACGCTGCTGTGCTGTCAGCCAATCGCTGCATAGCTGATCATGATTTTGAGGATCGATAGATCTGTCCTTCACAACACAAGCAGTGATCTCAGATCAGTTTATCCAGACATTTTAATCTGATTCACGAACTTGTTTGAAGAACCAAATTAGCGAGAGATCAGTTATCAAGATTAAAAGATCCAGGATCTGCAAAATCATCTTAGATAATTTAAGCGAGGTACGAAGAACGGACCCCTGATAATGGGTTTTAGTGTTGTTTTGTTTGGATGTGACCAGGTTATTAGAAAGGTTATATCTAAAAAAATAATTGAATGCATGAATATTTTAGCTGCCTGCAGTGATAAACGAGACCGGAAATTAGATATATTAAATTTAACACAGTAACATACTTTTTTAATTTGTGATTTCAAAGTTAATTTGGAGTCAATTTGGAACCAAAGATATTTAAAATCAGATACAATTTGTAATTTGTCCCCATCTACGTAGATGTCTGTTAGATTATTTACTATGTTTGTTTTAAAAAAAAGTACATTGCAACTGTTTTGTTTACATTCAGTTTTAAACAGGACTGGTTTAACCATTCTGAGACATGAGCCATAACTTGTTTAAGTTTATCTGCTACATGAGTTGTGTTTTTACCATGTGTATAAACAACTGTATCATCTGCATACATCTGAATCAGGACATTTGGACAGACTGAAGGGAGGTCGTTTATGTAGAGAGAAAATATCAAAGGTCCCAAAATGGAACCTTGAGGTACATCGGTGGCAGAGAGAGTGAGGGAGAGTGATAATCTTTAATTCTGACTGAGACTTTAATTTTAGGTCATCTGGAGGCTCCCATAAGGAAATACTGGTCTAAAATTCCCACATTTTTAGTTATCATTGTTTCATTGTTGGTATAACTAGGTAAATAAACTGGATATAATTAAAAAACAAAAGATAAATCAATTTTATTAATTATACTAGGATGTATTGTTTTAAAACTCAACAAAATTACATTGGACAAGCAATCTGTGCAAAAATAGCATATACATGATCACTGTCACAGATTTCTGCAGAACTTCAATGCATTATTTACAAAGTTACCTATTTGTATGTTAATTATATTAATTAAATATGTTTGCTGCTCTGATAATAAGCTAAACACTAAGAATGGCTTTAAACTCTTTAGAAGGAGAGAAAAAAAGACTAGAGTGACATTGGCTCATTAAGAAAAAAAATGTTGAATATTTTCTATGTTGATTATTTGGTCCCACTTTATATTATGTGTCCTTAACTACTATGTACTTGCTTAAAAAATAAATACAATGCACTTACTGTGTTTATGATGTATTTGAGAACATTTGTGGTGCTTTTGAGTTGGGATAGAGGTTGGGTTATGAACAGGTTTGGTGTTGTGGGTAGGTTTGAGGGTGGGTTAAGGTGTAAGGGATGGTCAACAGTGTATTTACAAATGTAATTACAAAAGTTATGTACAGATGTAATTACTTGTATTTAATCAAGCATAAGTACACAGTAAATACATGTATTTACACAATAAGTACATAGTAACAAACTATTAATTCCTGTGTAAATACATATTAGTTAAGGCCACTTAATATAAAGTGGGACCAATTATTTTCCTGAATTTCAACCACTGAAATTCTAGAAACTATTTTTTAATTGATTTACTGATTAATATTAATATTATTGATATTATTATATGATTGATTTGAATGATACCTTTCAAATAACAGAACTGTGTAATATGATAATTATTTGGAAGCAATGTCATCCATGAACTCATTCTTATGGGTGTAGATATATAAAGGGATTCAGGGCATTAAACATAACTGTGTCACTGTTGTTGCTTAAATAAGCCTGAATGTGGAAGAGTTCAGAAGATAGTACATTGTATTATACTAGCAAAATCAACAAACTCTCCACAACTACTTGACAACTGTAGTCCCAATTGCAATGCATATTTTTAGTCAGCAATAAAATCTGACAAACTGACTCATAATTGTTGCTCCATATTGCCAAATGACAATTGACAAGCATATATTTAAGGTTAGCCCAGCAAATGTGTCTGTGTGTTAGAAGGGAGAGCTTATTAAGTAATGCAATGTCTAGGTGATTTACTGATGCAAAGACTTACCATTCTTGTAAACAGCACTTTGTCTGATGCTAGCAGAGACTTAAGCAGGTCGCACACCAGAAGCGCCGCTCGGCGCGGCGACACGGCGCTTATGACAGTTTAAAGTATCGCACACCAGACGCGCACATTCGAATGATATTTAACATGAAACTAATCAGATGGCGCTCTGTGGCGCGGCAGAAAAATGAACTGCGTCCTGAGCCGTCGCCGGGCGCCGCCGACAGCGGCCGACTTGCGGCGCCGGTGTGTGTATCCTGATAGAAACCTATGATTAGAATTCTAAAATGCATGGCGCCGAGCGGCGCTTCTGGTGTGCGACCTGCTTTAGTCTAGTCTATAGAATAAACATGCTTTGCCATTCACATTCCGGCCAAGCTTGGCCATGCAGCCAATACGCTTTCACGGCAGCTAGCATCCCAAAGGGAATGGAGACTCTACCCCGGCATGGTCCAGCTAATATGATAGCGCTTTGGGCAAGCCCAGGTCGACCTGTTTGCTTCTCCCGAAAACACCAATTGCCAGTTGTTTTACTCCCTGTCAGAGGCCCCACAGCTAGCCATTGGGTATGCACAAATATGCATTTCCCTCAGCAAGCCTAATTGCACAGACTCTGTGCAAAGTCAGGGAGGACGAGGAGCAGCTCTTTTGTAGAGCTTCTCTGGCCCAAACAGACCTGGGTTTCCGAACTCATCGTGACAGCCACTCCCTGGCGTATTCCCCTGAGACAGGACCTCCTCTCCCAGGGACAGGGCATCCTCTGGCACCAATGCCCAGATCTCTAGAACCTCCACGTGTGGTCCATAGACGTGGCACGGAGTACTAAGGTGACTTGCAGGTGTCGGTGGTTAACACAATCACTCTTCTTGTCGAGAAGACCCCTAAACTTGCCAGATTAGCATTGTGTTATCCTTCCTTCAGGATATGCTGGAGCATAGGCTGTCACCCTAAAAATTCTGCCTATGAAAACAGCTCTGCTGATTGCATTGGCATTGTTCAAGAAAGTCTGGGATTTGGTGATATTTTCAGTCAGCCAATCGTGCTTGGAATTCGGGCCAGCCTACTCGGCTACGTGTTCAAGGTTTCTACCACCCCATTTAGAGGTCAGGTGGTGAACCTGCAAGCGCTGCCTACTGAGAAGGCAGACCCAGCCCATTTATTGCTTTGTCTTATTTGCGTTATGCGCCTTTATGTGGAACTTAAGATCTTGTGAACAACTTTCCCATTGTCTGTAGATACACATTGAAGTTCTCATGATGGGGAATGTCCTGGTTATGTACGTAACCCATGCTCCCCGAATATGGAATGGAGACATGTGGCTCTGCCAAAACTCATTTGGCATTTTATTGGCCTAATTTCTTACTCGTCAGAGTGATTGGTCAGCTAGTGATCTCCCATAGTCAGTTATCAGACACACATCTCTGTGTCTTATTTCGGGAACGTGGGTTATGTACATAACCAGGACATTTTTTTTTTCACTTTGTTAATGTTATTTATTGAGTTCTTGACAAGCTGTAATTGGCTGACATTACTTCTTAAAGGGTTAGCTAACCAAAAAAATATTTTAACTAAACTTTAAGGGTTTAAAACAACTTGAGGGTGAGTAAATATTCATTTTTGGGAAAAGTATCCCTTTAAGCTGCCATCCTGGTTGTACACATAGGGCATATTGCAAACCCTGTTGTATTAATAAGATCTGTAATTAATGCTTCTTCATGGCACATGTTTAGATTTCAGCAGGAGTTCCAGAAATGTCCCTACCAAGATTTGGCCAATTTTCCCCAAAGAACTTTGGGTGCTTTTACACTAGAGATCGCTCTGATGGAGCGTTTGACGGATTGGAATGTACAAGCTTCTTTCTGAGGGTGTGGAAAGAGCCATGTGAGTTCAAAATCAACTGGGAATACAGCAAATTGGATGTCCAGAAGCACATCTGGACCCACCTCTCTTAAATTCTCATGGGTTAATGGTCATGTCATCATTTTATTTCCTGATTTCACTGGAACAGTATGTGGATGAAAGATGAAAGTGTGAGTCGGTGGAAGGCACGAGTGGGGAATATTGCTGCCCTGCCTCACCTATGACCTGATTTCGCGACTGACCAGAGGGAAGGATAACACTTAATGTAATAAAGTTTTTAAAAGACTGGTAAGACAATGATTTAGGGTAAAATATCAGGAGCAGGCTAGGTCAACAGCGGCGTTGTTATTCTTCACTAAAACCATTACAAACATAAAGAAATTAAATATGCATTATAATTGAATGATGGTATCTTGCTTGCTGTATATTATCAGACTTATTTCCACATAACACATTTACATTGGCGCATGAGGTGGGAAATCCTAACATTTTTCAGGTAAATTATAGCACATTAATAAATGTAAACGTTGCCAGTGAGATGTGTGTGTGTGTGTGTGTGTGTGTGCGTGAGGTAGGACAGTGAGTGATGTCAGTGTTACCTTGCGCTGCCTCCCGCCGATCCTCTTGGATCTCCTGTGCTGCAATTCTGTCCAGGGCTGCGTTTAGTTCCTCCTCCATATTAGCTCTAAACAAATTAAACATTTTTCAAGTCAGATGATGAAATGAACTGACAAAGTCACATTATGGTATTTAACTATTATACACTATAATGGTGTGATCAGTATGCTTTAGCTAGCACAAAAGCACTGCATAATAAGGAATATTACTTTTTAATACTACTTTTTAAACCAGAATCAAAACAGGTATTTTTGTGTGACTTACAATCAGAATGCACTTGATTATACACACACAAAAAGTCAAAATGTAGCATATTGAATTATCTAAATGATCTATAGAGGTGGACTGGAATTCCTTTCTACCATATTTTAAAAGTTAGTTAACCTAAAAAGGAAAATTATGTTATTTATTATTCACAATAATGTCGTTCCAAAGCCCTGAGCCCATTTTTCATCTGCACGATCCAAATTAACATAATTTTGATGAGGTTTGAAAGCTTCATATACACTAAAAATGTTTTGTTGGACCAAGTTACCAATTGTACACCAGGTGGTAATACCAACATCTGCTGACAAATTAAGATTACAGAGTTTAAGCAATTGAGAATTTACCACACTTTAACTAAGGCAAAACTGTCAGTGAATGTAACTTGATTTTGTCTTGGATGTTTCAAATGATCAGTTACATCTTATCTAAGGACAAATAGTTTTCATTTTGATGTAAATATATTAATAAATAATTAAAAAAATATATATTTTTTTTAGCAAAGGGAACATTGCATCTATCAAATGAAGTGAACCTCACAGGTTAGTACACTAAGATTAATTTCATTTAATTAAGAAACACATTTCCACTAATTTGAACTTTGTTATTTTACCTTATATTAGGCTAATTGAACCCTAGAACAATTTTAATAAAATGTTTACAGATCTCAGAACTAGCATTAAGACAGGTATGGCTCACTGAGTGAAGTAACAAACATTAATGTTGATCATACATCTGCCAAGACCCAGAGCTGGGAACTGCACATCTATTATTCTGGTATCTTTTTTTTTTATTTTTTAAACAAATATACTCGACAGAACTCTATACTGTCCTCCTTGTGTGTTGCTGACAGTGTGCATGTCTTGAATGAGTCCATTCCATGCACGATTCACAATTGCAACATTCCCTAATAGCTTAAGTTGCATAAACATGATTACAGTAGGTTATAACATCAAAATATATTTAGAGTTGAATTAAATAGAAATAACGACAGTCCAAACTCATAAAAAATAAATTAAATAAAAAATTCTTCAGTGGTCCAATTGAAATATTATGAAGTTACGTGAATACTTATGAGAATGAATGAGTTGGGTTCATTGCTGTCTATGGCAGATAAAGGAACTCTCAGATTGTAAAATATCATCATTTGACATCTGAAAACAAACAAATGTTTATTTTAATAACATAATTTTCTTTTTTGGGTGAACTTACCCTTTAAGATTAACATTCATACTCAAATATAATACAAAGTCATGCTGAAAATAATCATGTTTCATTTTGTTTTAAAAGGCCCAAAGAAATAAAAGCACAACACTTTTAATTAGAATTAAGTAAGCACTAGCAATTAGAATTGAAAGGCAACATAAGCAAAGGTTAACATTCTGTCAAAGAAAGTTCCCTTTTCATGCAATGACTTATGTTGACAAATAAGTCCTTATTGCAAGGAAATACCTAATAAGACATTATATGCTGTACCTTTGGAATTTTCTTTACCTGTTTGAGTAATTAATTATACGAGTAATTATGAAATAGCTCCACTGGATTATACTAGAACTATAATGTTTTTGCAATAAATAGAAATCTTTAGTCCATAACATTATAAACTGTGGGCTAAGTAAAGCCAGACAACAAAATAAATGAAAAGAATGCATTTTTCCTTTTAGCATTTATCAAGGTAGTATTCAACAAATTCAAGTATTTGGATGTTATATTATCAGTATTCACCTTATTCTCCGCGGACGAGCGGGCGCAGCCAATTTAATCTTTTTGGCACGAGACTTCCGGTCTCATTCACTTCCATTCATTTTTAGACATTAAAAACTGCTCGTTTCGCTGTTTGATGTTGCAAACTGATATTTCCTTGTTATATTATTCTACTTGGTCTGTATAGTCATGCAAACATTTGTTTGTAGAGCAAGTGGTTTGACTGTTTTTTGCTGTTTATTATTCCTAGTCATTTCTCCCATAGGCGACTGAAACGGAAGTTCTAAGACAATCGCGAAAACAGGCACACTTCCGCATTTTAGAATAAGGTCAATAGTCTTAAGGTTATCTGTGTGTTCCAAAAAAGGAGTAAATATGCATTTACAAGATACTGTATAAGCAATCAAAACTTGCAGTTTCTCACCTCCCTATAATCAATTTATAGTTGCACAAAGTGTCAGTGAAGTTTAACGCAAAGTAAATCTCAAAAAAAACTTGACAACTATGCCTGTTGTTTCTTTGCATGAATTTACTCATTCATTTCCATTCTAGACTGCGAATGCAATAAGTTTCTGTCAAAGTGTGCTAAGCCATTGCTTTTGAAACTTCCTCTTTTACCTTTAAACCGCCTCAACTCTGACACCATCCAAATCTCTCCCCCACTGAGATGGAGATATAAAAAGAAACCCCGCTAATTAAATAGCTCTTAATTCGCCTAGAAATCAAAGTGCTAAGTGACAAGAAACATAAAACCCCTGGCTGGGGTGTGAGGATTTCTTTTCACCTAGACGGAGAAGGGATTGAGGTGGGGTGCAGGGGGATCTGAACAGACAAGTAGCGAATCTAAACCCAATTAAGAACCACCAATTAGCTGTATGCGTTCTGGAGACTAATTAAAAGGGGCAAAAAGAGGCACTTTCAAGTTATTATTAGGACCCAAAAGAAGCCTGCTGAGGATTGTGGTAGGCCCCAGTGAGGCATCTGCACCTGAAACACACACCTAGTTCCCCTCCCATTTGTTCTAGCGCAGCACTAGAACTACCTCTGCTGAATTGCAGTGGCTTAGTTCATCATAGTGTTTATACTAGCAAAGTACTGTGGGTTATGCTTCGTTTGGAGCACAACAAGGAACTCCAAACTGAGACTGTCCACGGAAATGAACAATAACTCTTTTCTACTCACCACGTCTCACCTAATTTTGATTGAAAAGATCTAAAATCAACTCCTCCTTGTACTGTTGTGCTAAAGTGCTGCATATATAGGCATCAGCACAAGGTGGTTTATTAGCATTCCAGCTGTGGAGATCAGCTGTAAGTCTCTCGTGATCCCACCAGTCACTCTATCAAAACACAGTTAATACAGCTTCTCTTTTCACGTCAACAGCATAGATTTGTTTTTAGGGTTTTTTTTTTAGATGGTGTGAACCTCTGCTTCATCAATCCCCTCGCTTTCCCGTCCCAGTGAGTTTTTGAGCGAGTGAATAATTTGAATAACAGATGTTTATTAGTATAGGATAGTTAGCAAGCCCCTCTCTAGAGCTTCCATCATGGTTGAATACATTTTGATATAAATGAAGTCAAAAGTGGAGAAGGAAGGAGAAGAATAATAATAATAAAAATAAAAAAAACACTGTGATTTTAATAAGTGACAAATGAAATGACAAAGACACACTGTGAAGGACTCAGAATAACGAAAAACAACTTAATTTCTGCATTTCTAAAATGTGTTTATTTGTAGACCATTCAAAGTACAGAAAAAAAATCAAATCAGGGACTGACAGATTCCATGCACTTACTTAAAAATGGCAATAGGTTGGCTACTATTTGCCAAAGGTTACATGTTACTTGCCAATAACTTGAGTATGAAAAAGAGAAAAAAATTTTTTAGTTTTAGTGTTATCAACTACTTGAACTTTGGTATTGTTGTATTCAAGCAGTTTTATTTAATTGACTGTAATTTACCAATCAGCATTCAGGATCAGAAATATGTAGGAATAATTGATGACGGGCCATTGAATTATTCAAAAACAATGCACACCTGAGGTGATAATGTGTCCATGACGCGAAGTGGACCTCCAGTGTGCATTGTTTTTAATAATTCAATAGACCTGAGTCAATTATTCTGCTTATACCATGGTAACCACACTCCAAGACATTGTTCAGATGGTTCATTTCAAAGACATTTGTCAGGTTTTTTGTCCTTAACCCACTGGTGTATTCATTTATCTCGAATCTCATGTGTGGCCCTCAACAGCATATTGTTACAATGAGAAAAAACTTTTGAACTGATTCAACAGCTACAACATTATGGCCCCTTTTCACAAGCCTGTTATGACGCGTTATCAGCACGGTCATCAGCATCTTAAATCCTTTATAGTTATAAGTATTTTTTTTTAAATGTATGAACATTTGTATTTATGTATGTATGTGTTATACTATCTTTGCTTAAAATGACAAAAAATGAATTCTCGCTTGTGCAAGACATTTCTAATACAGTGTTAATGGGACAGGACAGCAAACTTGATGTTATTCTCTCCACTGGCTGTCTATTTTTTCTTTCCTTTTTCTGAAAGTCTTGATAACACCATTGTGGAGTTTTTTCTTTTATTATTTAAGCAAATAAAATTGTCAAAAAATATTTGTTGTATTCTCCTATTCACTGACTTTATCAACTATGATGACTTCCGCTACTGAGAAATCCAGATGTGTGAAAAGCATCTATTACTTTGCAACTGATAAATGTATGCGATATCTTTTCAATTGCAAAACTATTACCTCACAAAGTTTCTTTGTATATGCCTCAATATGTGTGCCTGCTTTCATACATGACCATCATATGTGTAAGTGCAGACAGCGATAAATTAAACTGTCATATAAATCTATTAAAAGTACATTTTTAAACCTACTTTGCTTAGTCATTTTAGTGGATAAGATTTCTGAAAAGGATAAAATATATTTGCACTAAATATATGTATAAAATATATGTTCTAATAAATTATAAATTTGGGGGAGCACAATGGCTCAGTGGTTAGCCTCATAGCAAGAAGGCCGCTTGTTTGAGTCCCGGCTGGGTCAGTTGGCATTTCTGTGTGGAGTTTGC